ATACAGGAGAAATAGCAGTGGCCCAAGGATTGAACCCTGGGGGACTCCAGAAGTAACGGGTAAAGGCTCCGATAACACAGTTGAGAGGCGTACAAGCTGATGTCGGTTAGAGAGATACGATGAGAGCCAGCCGATTGCCTTGCCATCAATGCGATATACTGTTCGCAGCTTAGCTAAGAGACCCCTGTGCCAAACAGTGTCGAAGGCCTTTGCGAGATCGAAGAAAACTAAACCAACATGGTTATGGGCGTTCCGGGCGGTGTGGATGTCTTGCACGAGGCGGGTAACCTGGTACCTGGTGGAGTCACCCCGACAAAAGCCCGACTGTGCTGGCGAAAGTGAAATGCGAACATGATCATAAATGATGTCATATACAACACGTTCGCACACTTTTGATAAAGTAGAGAGCAATGAGATAGGGCGATAGTTGCTGGGGGTGGTGCGTGGTCCTCTATTTTTGTAGGTGGCCACGACTACCGCAGTTTTCCACATGGCTGGGAATTTCCCTTCGCGAAATGACATATTCAAGATAATTGACACAGGATAGGCAACAGACGGAGCAAGAGCTCTCCAAACTTCGTTGGTAATTCCGTCTTGACCAGGGGACTTGCCAGTTTTCAGATTACGGAGATATTTCCTCACTTGGGCTGTACCAGTCGACAATGATAGGAGGGACGCAGGTATTGAGGGTGAAGGGGTGAGTGGTGGTATAGGCCACGTAGGGTCGTCAGGAAGTCCAAACGACGTAAACTGCGTGTTCAATATGTCTGCTATGTCTGCGGGATCTGTTGCTACCGTGCCGTCTGAAGCTGTCATTGATTTATTATTATTATTATTTTTTGTTTTACATCGGAAGCTCAACAGTGCAGCTGCACAAATATGAAGATTTGAGTTTTTTCATTTGCTTTGAGTTCTTTACAATTTAAAATTGTTTTGGGTTTTAGTTGCATTTCTATTGTTGATAAAGATGGTATTTTTGCCCGTACAAGAGGCTTGAGACTAGTAAAAAAAAAGGAAAGTCGCAGAGAGATTTCAACGTGAAGTCGTAGCCTTATTCCCGTAGCTATGCAGAAGACGTTACTTCAGTAACGTCTGGCGCTAGCCAGGGTCCACACAGCTTTAATTTGGTATTTGTTTGTTTGTTTGTGTGTTTGTTTGTTTGTTTGTTTGTGTCACGCCTGGCGCTATCCCGTATCTGTCCCGTATCTGTCCCGTATCTGTGACTACAAAGGCTCTACAGGATTGTACATAACAGCTGTCCACAATATTTGCGGGCTCCTGTATCTGTCCCGTACCGTACCAATATTCGTCGTATTATGCATACGACTCCCTGATGTAGAGGGGGATTTGGAAAGAAATAGGGAGACGAGGAGGAAATTAAATTAGAACAAACGCCGATTAGGTGATAGGATGCGTCAGCATAAATATACTTTGGAAGAGAGATCCCGTCGTGAAGCGTGAACGAGCGATTCAGTGCCGGTCACAGGAAACGTCGGAAGAGAGATCCCGTCGACTCCAGAACACCCGTGATCGGTAGAGTCCGACGGTACCAGGCAACGTCAAGACAGACATCCCGTTGAGTCCAGAACGCCCGTGATCGGCAGAGTCTAAGCCGGTTCCAGGAAACGTCAGGACAGACATCCCGTCGAGTCCAGAACGCCCGTGATCGGCAGAGTCAGCGCCGGTCCCAGTAAACGTCAGGACAGACATCCCGTCGACGCGCAGAAAAACTAAATCTGCAGCCTCTTTTGCCGTCAAACAGGATACGTATTAATTTTATATAGGAGACTGTAAAGTTATGTAATGTCCAAATTTCGACGTGAGCAGCAGGTCACTCGCGTTGATTTTTTCGACGTGCGAGCCAAATAACGCGAGCTGAACTTTCGCGTCGCAGACATCCCGTCGACGCGCAGAAAAACTAAATCTGCAGCCTCTTTTGCCGTCGGACAGGATACGTCTTTTAGGAGACTGTAAAGTTATGTAATGTGCTCCACAGGCAACCATGCATTTGGCTTCGTCATTGGCTCAACAGGTCAATGATTATGTACATGTATTACTACAAAAAGGCCAGAAAATCCGATTCCTGTATTAAAATCAACTAATGTTCGCTGGCGATTTAATTTCGCTGATTTCGCCGCTTGGTACCAACCGGCCAAAGTAAATCGCAGGCCAACGTTTGTCATATTGGCAAATGATGCATGATTGAGCAATGGATGCATGTGAGAGCAAAAATACCGATCGATTTCAAATTTGACGTGAAAATGCGCGTCACGTCGGAAATAACGTGCATCTTAACCTCTCTAATCGAGAGGTTTCTATTTCTCATCAGCCAAAGTTTGTTGATTTACAATAATAAGGAGATAAAAATTAAAGAAGGAGCAAAACAAAAGTAGATGATTATTAGAGAAATAACAATCCGCAATAAAGTCTGAAAATACTTTTGCCTAACTCATAATATTCAAACCGATTGAAACGTTTTTGCAATACAGTGATGTGGCCAGTCAACGGAAAAAGACAATTCCATCAGTTCTTATAACATGTACGATGAGCTAGGCAAAAAAGCATCAAAGCATAGCGTAGGGCCCTGAGCTTCCAAGCTCTCTCGTTTGGTTTGTTTGTTTGTGTGTTTGTTTGTTTGTTTGTGTCACGCCAGGCGCTATCCCGTATCTGTCCCGTATCTGTCCCGTATCTGTGACTACAAAGGCTCTACAGGATTGTACATAACAGCTGTCCACAATATTTGCGGGGTCTTTGTGGTCCACTTCACAACAATAACACACACAGAAGTCTCTGCTGTGAGCACGGTGGCTCGGCAATGGCGAAATTTGGGGGCTCCTGTATCTGTCCCGTACCGTACCAATATTCGTCGTATTATGTATACGACTCCCTGATGTAGAGGGAGATTTGGAATGAAATAGGGAGACGAGGAGGAAATTAAATTAGAATAGACGCCGAATAGGTGATAGGATGCGTCAGCATAAACAGCGTCAGCATAAACATACATGTACTTTGGAAGAGAGATCGCGTCGTCTAATAAGCGTGAACGAGCGAGTCAGCGCCGGTCACAGGAAACGTCGGAAGAGAGATCCCGTCGACTCCAGAACGCCCGTAATCGGCAGAGTCCGCCGGTCCCAGGCAACGTCAGGACAGACATCCCGTTGAGTCTAGAACGCCCGTGATCGGCAGAGTCTAAGCCGGTCCCAGGAAACGTCAGGACAGACATCCTGTCGAGTCCAGAACGCCCGTGATCGGCAGAGTCAGCGCCGGTCCCATTGAACGTCAGGACAGACATCTCGTCGACGCGCAGAAAAACTAAATCTGCAGCCTCTTTTGCTGTCGGACAGGATACGTATTATAGGAGACTGTAAAGTTATGTAATGTCCAAATTTCCACGTGAGCAGCAGGTCACTCGCGTTGATTTTTCGACGTGCGAGCCAAATAACGCGAGCTGAACTTTCGCGTCGCAGACATCCCGTCGACGCGCAGAAAAACTAAATCTGCAGACTCTTTTGCCGTCGGACAGGATACGTATTTTGCACCATGCATTCGGCGTCGTCATTGGCTCAACAGGTCAATGTACATGTATTACTACAAAAAGGCCAGAAAATCCGATTACTGTATTAAAATCAACTAATTTTCGCTGGCGATTTAATTTCGCTGATTTCGCCGCTTGGTACCAACCGGCCAAAGTAAATCACAGGCCAAAGTTTGTCATATAGGAAATTGATGCATTATTGAGCAATGGATGCATGTGAGAGCAAAAATACCTATCGATTTCAAATTTGACGTGAAATTGCGCGTCACGTCGGAAATAACGTGCATCTTAACCTCTCTAATAGAGAGGTTTCTAATTTTCTCATCAGCCAAAATTTGTTGATTTACAGTATAAGGAGATAAAAAGAAAAAAGGAGCAAACCAAAAGAAGATAATTATTAGAGAAATAACAATCCGCAATAAATTCTGCAAATACTTTTGCCTCAGTTCTTATAACATGTACGATGAGCTAGGCAAAAAAGCATAAAAGCATAGCGTAGGGCCCTGAGCTTCCAAGCTCTCTCGTTGTCCCTCCCTCCCAACTCCAGTTGGGTATCCAGAAGTTGAGCCCATATTTGTCAGACATACTACTACCGGGTCATGTACGTTGAGTAAAAAAAAAAGAGTAAATTATCGTATCCGTTCCCGAAGGGAACTCACGACGGCCGCTAACACCCGATAAACCCTAACGTTGAGTAATAAAAAAGCAAAAAAATGTGCAGTTAACAGCACGTCAGTGACGTCACCACCAGTTCCTAAAAGGAGTAAATACTCTCCTCCTTGGTACCGGGATAGTTTCAATGACAGATTTCTTTTGACTTTGAGTTAAAAAATATCCTTTATTTCACTGGGTATTCATTTGTAATGAATGCATTTCCATTCGTTGTGTTTATTATTACCAGTAAAAGAGGCTCTTGGGTACAAAGTAAAGTCTCCCCTCACTTCCCCTGGGAAATCAAAGTGACCACTAACACTGAGAATATTGCACCCCCCCCAACACCACTGGAAAGTGTGCTAAAGAAGGTTAAGTCGCTATGGTAACGTTTGGGTATAGAATGTCGTACAGGCTTGTGCGTGCATACATTGCAAGTCTGAGCACTGAATGCGGTTAACAGCATGCGCTACTAGTCTGTGGCTTCAGCCACAGCAAGTCTGGTGCGATATTTAGTTCCCAATTTGATTTTTACTGAAGTACTGGACATGTACGTTCCAGATATTATTATAGAAACAGACCGTGGTTTGTACACCGGGGTAGGGCATTGCATTCCAAAACAGCAAGGACTGACTGAGTACTCCATTTTCGGTACTTGTAGTCGAATTTTGGAACATGGTCTCGATAGTGCAGACTAGGAAAGACTATGAAAAGAACACGTTATACGCCATTCATAGGAGACAGAGTGCTGTTTTATCGTCAGCAGTTGCTTTACACACTGTACACCCAGAACACACACACACACACTGTCGGATAGAAACACTGAAACTACACTAGTTTCCAGTTGCTTCAAAGATGTTCTAGTCGTCCGTATACAGAACAGTGCAGTGTGATAGGAAGATGTATAATCAGTACGCAATTGTGTAGTGCGATAATGCAGTGGGGGAGCTGACACGAAAAGACAAGTTACTTGAAAGAGGGATCAAATTGCTCATTGCTCATTGGCAGTCGTAGATAGTTCTAGGCAGCGCAATGATAGGTGGATATAGCGGAGCAAGAGTAGAATGAATAAGCAAAATATGATGTAAGTGAGAGCAAAATGAAGTGAGAAAAATATGGAATGATAATCGTGCGCTTAGAAGGGTTTGTCATTGAGAGGACCATCAGCGGCAACCGCGTTCAGTACAGGTGGAGTTGGGCCATCATGCACCTTGAATGGAGATTGGTACACCTGGATACGGATCAACGTCACGGTGTTGATCTGAACCTACAGTCATTATCATAATCACAGAAACGCAAACACAGATCCAATCAGTCAGCAGGTTAGGCCGTTTTTGGCATTCTCCTACTATACACGTGTAGATACAGTAGTTAGTCACAATTGGAGCATAGTACAGTTAAAACCTGGTTTAGTTGACCACCCCACGGAGTAAGCAAAAGCGGTCGTTAAAGTCAGGTGGTCTTTAGAACCAGGTCCCACAGTGTCTGTGTAGACCTGTCGGTGCATGGAAAAATGATCGTTAAGAGCAGGTGGTCGTTAATCCCAGAGGTCGTTTAATCCAGATTTTACTGCACACTACTTCGAAAAAGACAATACATTGCATAGACACATGGATGCACGGAGTGTTCCGTGACCGTAGGAATGCCACCACCCTCACGTATCAAAGCCAAACTCAGCTCTTAGCAGTGGGAGGTGAGTACATGTACATGTACATATAGATCAGACCCACCACCAAAGTGCTCAACTACTGATAATCCCATTCATGGCATCCACGTTTCCCTCGTGCAAGGCCGCGAGTTCCCGCAGCACGGCAGGAAAAATCCTTCTGCTTCCAAGCAGGACTTGAAGCTGGTACTCTCTGTTTCTCGATAATGGTCTTAGACAATTCCTCTACTCCTTGACCAATGCCGATATCAATCACAAGGAATGAGGCACAATGTTACCATCCATCGCACAAGTACATGTACAATGTTACGATGCATCGCACATGTACATGTACATTTCGTGAATCGCTCAAGGCTCTTGTACAGGCAAACAGAATACAATTCACGATGGCATGGCGAATGATTTGAACACAACACCAAAAAATAGAAAACAATTTTACGTGTAAACAGTGGCATTTGGCACATTTCGTGCATGATGCACAGAGATACATACATACAATCACTCACCTTGATGCGGTAGTTCCACCCTTCAACCACCTGCTCGATGAAGAGAGTTGCGTTGAACTGGCCAAACGGTTGACCGCCATTGATTTTGTCCTCGACGGCCTTTCGCACCTTGACACAGGATTGGGCAGATGCAGTACAGGACATGGTACATGTACAATCATGCGTGTGTATACTTCGAAGTACAAATCTCACGTACATGTGTATACATGCTATACAAAAACAAACACAAACAAAAATGCAGAACCAAAGCATATTGCCTCTATACATGCTATATTAATTTTGACAAAATATCAAATGAGCTCACTATCAAGGGCAATACTGTAGTGGTATCAGGATGCTGCTGGGTGGAAGGTCCCACAAATAAATTGTTTCGAACTAACGTTTTGAAGCATCAAATGATATCATCCTCAAGGTATCACGATCCACATAGCAATGTCATTTGGCTGGCACATATTCTCTCCCCCCCCCCGAAACCACAGTCAATAGATGCACGATCTATCGTAATTCGCTGCGTTTTTGATATTACGAGGATAATCGAATAGATTGGTGCCTAATAGCTCTACAAGGGAATTGTTTATTTCTTTTATCGCCCTTGTCTTCAGCTCACAGATATTTTAACGTCATTTGTATTATTCGCAATGTATGAGCCTACATAAACAACACAACTGAGCCGCGAAGCCCTTACAGGATCTGATTCCAAAGTATTCTAGGCCAATATCCGTACATGTACATGCAAATGTACTTACCTGGTCGCACGTTTGCTGAATATCCTCCCCAGCTGCTTTTGGAGGGTGGCTCCAAGCTCCCATGGCTTGCGCTCCTGATTTCGGCATAGTGAAATTGAGTGGTTTCGGATGTAGAGATCACTTGACGCTTGATGCTTGAAAGCCTTGATGCTTATGCTCAACTTCGCAACCGTTTCTGCCTTTTATACTACTGAGGTCCAAATGGCTTTCTTTGAATGTATTTAGGCGGCCGGATGTGCTAGGGAAAAGAATTGTGGGAGGTCGTTTCCCGGGAAAGGATCAACATCCGCTTTCTGAGATGTGCATCCACAGTTCAATGTGCACAGCCGAGGTATGTAGATATCTCGTATGCCTACCTTTAGTCACATTGTTGATGATAATACACACGTAGATGTAGATGTACGTCTCACTGCTTCATCAGAGATTCGCGCCCTCACGAGTGCATGATCCTCTTGGTGTCAAGTAGGGCTGTACACATGAACAGCAGTATAATAATGATACACCTGTCATTCACGGCCTGTTTGAAATCTTTAGCCGCAGCATAAACAGTTCAATACTGTGTTGACGTGAGTGCGAGTCTGTCACATTCTTGTCATGATCTGGTCTTGCCAGCAGTCTAATTCTCTCCCGGCACTTACATGTATGCCCTTGAGAAGCGTTTGAGTCAGCATACATGTACACTGTACAATCATAATGATTGTACAGTGTACATGTACATGCACATGTACACTGTATACTGTACACTGTACGTACAGCTACGATCAGCGGCGGATATTCTGGGGTTATGTGGGGATGAGAACTGGCGCGGGGATTGCCCAATCACATCTACAGCGACATCCTGTTGGCAATTAACGTTGAGCTGGAAAATGTCTCCACAGCACATACTAAATTTCAGAATATTAGTACAGTGTATCTGGCGTTGAAGTAGTTCGGAGCAGACCTCAAGTGTAGGCACACATTGCAGGTCGACAAGACCGGACTCGGAACAATGTTGCAAATTGGAGAGCGGCCTCAAGCCTACGGCAATCTTCATGCTGTACCAAGATCATAATACACAGGTACATGTACGGGTACATACATGGGACTGACGGGAGCTTATTTACTCATGACGTCACTGACTACAGTAATACTCCATTGTTGGAAATGGTCATCATTTTTATCATGAAACGACTTCAGAGTTTCAGCCACTTCGAAGTACACGGTACTCCAGGTGGTAAGCTATTAGGACATATATTACGCCAGCCGAGTGATATCCCTGCAAATTTTGCTCTCACTGCTTTCTGTGCATGTGCTACCAGTCAGCCCTTTCGCAAAGATGCACCCCGCTCTTGCCTAACCACAAGTCTCCAGCGAGATGTCCGCCTTGCACCTACATGTATCTGCATTTTTAAGCCCAGCTGCCCTCGTGATCTCGGCAGTTATGCCCGCGACAGAAAACAATGGAGTAACATCTGCTCAGCCATTTAGTCTAGGACTGCTCTTCTTAAATTTGACCTTTATTACAAGACTCTCTAGTACTGAGACATTAGGCGACCTGACACCTAGCTCCAACACGTCTCCAACGCCCAAACCAACAACTTGGAAGGCTCGGGTTCGGAAAGGTCCAAGAGGGGTGTCAAGTCGCCGAATGTCTCAGTATTCCTTGTCAGTTTTGTGCCATTTTGCCGCACTCGCTGACTGTATAAGTTCTGGTAACGTTGGTGGATAGTTAGTCATAACTCGTAACATTTTGTCCTTCTCCTTTTTCACCATAATTTATTTGGCTCACCATCCGAGTTGCATTTAGCGTACATATTCTCCATTGTCTGTTTTCCTCATTTTTCCTTGGTTGGTTTCACCCTTTTCTCTCCTCAATTCAATTGGCTGGCTTGACATGCTACGAGGTGCAGCAATATTAAAACAATGCCTGTGTTCTGTATTGAAGACAATCAGGTATGCATGTCGTGGGTTGAAACAAGTCGTAAACATCCTCTCACGGACCCATGCCTAGGGCGCGAGAACTTAGAGACGAGTAGACTGCTAGGACATTGTGATAAGACTATTGCATGCCACTAAGTGGCATGCAATTCTCAGGAAGTGATAGATCTACGTAGATGCAACCAACTTCGTTACTTCCTACGTCGATACTTCTATGTTTGCATGCTGCTAGATTCATGCAAAAATAGGAAAGTACTGACTTGTGCAAGGCCATTCGCCTAGAAAGTTGGATACAATCGCAGTAATAGCTATCCATGCCCAACTGACTAGGGACAAGACATTAGACGTCCTCGCAACGTACAAAACAACCATTATTCTCTGTTACAAGTATCGTATTTCGTAATACCGCTTCCCAACTCTGGGCTTCATCATGATACAGGAAGGACACTCTAGAAAGAATAAATTCATCGGTAGAGGCTATTTAAGATGAATACGAAGAGAAGTTTACACACGCCGTTGCTACTGGAGGGTACAAAGGTGGATAGAGACACAGGCAGAACACAGAGATTTTGAATGCACTTTCTAGTCATCTGATTTAGAAATCATACAAAGAAAAGAGAAATGGCATACGAAATGGTTGCTGAGCAAGTCTGCATGACACAAGTAAAATAAATACACGAACAGCGCCTTGTCTGGCTTAGTGCTCGGGGGGACCTTCCTCCAGACTTCCGTCGCAATAGGCCGTCACCTCTGGCAATAGCACAATAGGCGCGTTCGTAATTGGTGTGAATTGCTTGAATTGAAGACGAATCTGCGCAATCGGATTGATCCAAACCTGAAGATACACAAAGCCAGTGATACTGCGCCGTTCAGTAGAGAACGCAGGAGTTACTACTACCGGAAATGGGGATGACGAACAGTCATTAGGAACAATATTATAATATTGGAGCTCACTTTGACATACTGAAAATACGACAATTTAAAGCAGGGGGGGGGTGACCGGGGAGGAGAGGAATTGTTTGAGCCAGAAAGTGGAACGTCGATAGGATTACTGTAGACGTGGCAAATTGCATGTGAAGATTGAATGCAATGGAGGATTCCCCAATTGTATTCAATCTTCACATGCCGGATGGGAGGGGGGGGGGGGAGGGTTGTGGGATTATTGATTGTCAGGAGCAAAGGTAGTCACCAGACAGCAAAAACTTTGTAGTGTGATGCCGCTACTATCACGACACGTCTAAATGCTGATTGGAGACAAAAGGAAGATAATGCTGCATTGACCCTTGCCCTTAACTGGTGAAGACTACTGAGTATCAGATATTTGACTCACCTTAATCCTTGTGATCTTGTACTCATCCTTCTTGGTCAGCATCATGAAGTATGTTGGAGTGAACTGCTGAAACCTATTTCCTCCATTGTACACTTTCTCAACGCCTTCGCGATACTGCAAGATCGTAAAAATCGTACAAAGCAGCCGTTAAAGAACATCTACCCTCACATATGTCATACAACATTTCAATGTTATCTGAATTTTAAGGAACATGTATTACGCATTTTGGATGATCTTAGAGTAGAGTGCACTGCGGAGAATTAGATCTGACCGAGTTTGAAGAAATTGTTTTCAGAGAGGATAAAAAGAAGAAGAATTAAAAGGAGTCCTTTACTCTAACTAGCATGCAGGCTTGTTGCCACTCGAGGCCGTAAGGTCTCAGATTCGAGTCCTAATGCAGTTGACATTTTTTCTATTTTCAGGCAGCTCACTTCCCTCACAGTGTAATTTTAATTTGAAGTTCTCCAAACCCTTTCAAAATTATGGATACAATTTGTAACATGGAAATTGTGGGCACGAGTTGTGCGATTTTTCCATGGGTCAACATCTGAGTTCTTCAAATTATGGATGCAGTAACGTTTATGGAAATTGACAAATCCAAGCTCGGACCTACCCACCTACCTGTTCACACAGCTGCTGGACTTCTTCTGTAACTCTGTCTGGGGAAGACCACTGCGAAGGGAAGAACGTTCCACCGTCAGTCACGACACCGGACATGATGATAAAAAAGGTAGCGTGGTAGCTTGAGAAGAGATCAGCAGCACTGAGTTTCGCTTCGAGTAGAATGAGGCCATGGTTCACAAAACACGATCTTTTATACTGCTCAGAGGCGTTATATCATTGCTTGCGGTGACAATAAATTTGGAAGAAAGAATCGACACAAGACACCTGCAATGTCGTAAGGTATCAAGAATAGTGAGCCGTCGATTTTCTACCTTCGACAAGTAAACGTTGTTGACATCGTCCGTATTAAGTGTTCCTTTCTTTGTCGGCCTTACTGATGCACCATAGCTAGTCAGCTACCTGAAAGCCTCATTGTGGTTCATTAGCGTTTAAGTCGGTAGTGCTATTGAGAGTGAAGATACGTGTAACATGCGTGGAGAGAAAATCGACGTGAATCTTAGTGTTCGTTTGACGCGTCCGACAGGAAAACACAGAAAAGATACCCTTGTCCAGCAACAGTAAACTGTTGCCGAAGTGACATGAACGCAACAGTTCGACAGTTCAACAGTGACTAGTGTTTGAGTGCTTTTTAAATTAAAATAGTCAGCTTCCAGCTGATGCCTAGTGTTTGAGTGTTTTTTAATATGGTCAGCTTCCAGCTGATGACTAGTGTTTGAGTGCTTTTTTAAAATTAAAATGATCAGCTTCCAGCTGATCATGTTTATTTGCTCTGCTTTGGACATTCTATTGGCGGCTTCGAGGCAGCGGTTCGCGCATTGATAAAGTACCTTACGGAACATGTCAAGAACAGCCTATCAAAGTATAACCTTGAATGATTCACTGTCAACCGGAGCATTGGCATGGCCCACATCGAGTAAAGCCGTAACGTAAGAAAGGCCCGCAAAGAGCACGTCTTGACATAAGCAAAGTCAACTACATACACACTTCATATCATTTGAGGTGCATGCAACTGTCACTGTAGATTTGACAGTTCTTACTGCATACAACGTGCAGAACAGATCACACGCAAGCAGCAACGTAAAACAAGGTCTTTGGTGGAACTGCGAGTTTCGAGCTTAGACGATCGTTATCATACTCATGGCTGATGGTGGCTTAAGCATGACACTTGGAGGCAAACACACACAATTTTCGTTCTCTTCCAAGCATGTCATGTCGTGACCCAACCACCACCACACTCCATTACTCACCCCAGTGTCTGGAGATATGTGGATTTTGTAGAAAAAAAGAGAAAAAACACACATTGCAATGCACACTGCAATGTACTGAGCACAAACATTGTACTAACAAAGTCTATAGCGGTGTCGCGTTCACTTGTAAGTATTGCCGTCAATAGGTGTGGAAGCATGAACATATGTATTGAGTATGGATACACAAGGCCGAATACTAGACCAATAACTTTATCCTTGGATGTAATGTACGTTTACGTAACAATGCGCACTAAATTCCTCAGTATGGCATGGTATTAATCCTTAGTTTTCAGCATGTAGAATAGATGATTGCATTGGCTACCTTTGGTGTAGTATAACAGCCTTGCCCAATGTGTTCTGGAATTATTGTTGTTGGGACGCTCTACTGGCCCTACCCGTAATAACCTCTCATGCAACTGCAATGCAAGATTATAACGTGTATTCTCATGTTCGGTTCATGACCATGGATGAATGTGAGACCCTTGGAGTCGAAGAATGATTTGAACAAGGAACATGGAGATGTAGATGTAGTGTGTGATCATGAGACCATTATTTTACAGTTTTTGTGTGGCGACCTGGACATGGCGCATAATTACACAATTCAAATCGTACTACAGTATATGTTCTCGTATAACTCAGTACATTGAACAGGCCACATTCTGCCCTCTACAGGTCACGGCTGTACTGTGAATATGTATGTATGTCTGTATGTATGTATGTATGTATGTATGTATGTATGTATGTATGTATGTATGTATGTATGTATGTACACTGTTGTGAATTCCAGCAGAAATCCAAGAGAGCTCGATACCCGGAAGGTAGAGCCGTGACACACTAGTCAGAACAACAGATGGCTTGATCAGTCACAACTTAAAAAGTTTCATGCCATCCCAGGCACTCATCAGGTGATATGAACATCAAGAAAAATAACCCACTATTTAAAGCCCAGTATGGCGGGACAAGGATAACAGAAAGCGCTAGGGGCGCTATCAACTCATATCCGATTCAGTGTCATAGCCAGTAAGGACTTTCTTAAGATTTTTCTTGATGTTAATATCACCTGATGAGTGCCTGAGATGGCATGAAACTTTAAGTTGTGACTGATCAAGCCATCTGTTGTTCTGACTAGTGTGTATGTATGTATGTATGTATGTATGTATGTATGCAGTCCAGTTCTGCCCCGATTGTTGCCAATGTCACAAGCTCTTCACCTGTACGCCTACGGAAACCGTGCTGTACCGCTCACTGTCCCATTTGTGAACGTTGCTGTAAGTCGATCCGGGGCTTTGCTATCCACAACTGCAACCGATCCACCAGGCGTCCAACTGCTGATGAAAGGGACAAGTTCCAATTGCAATGTCAGAATTGCCAGAGGCGTTTCAAGAGGCGAAACGACTTATCCCGTCACCAACGCTCATGTCTCCTCTCGTCTCCGTCTCGCTCAACGAGAAACACGTGACCTACATGGCAGTGTATACCAGGACCAGGACCAGGATGTATGTATGTATAACTCATAATCACAAGGTGATTGAAGAGGCATTAATCAGCGAGAGAATTGTGAGTGATGTCTCTGAATCAAACTCTATCGTGTGCTGCATGAGAGAGGGCATGCAAGGGAAGACCCGTCCAACTTTTAATGTTAGAAATCCATGATGTCGCGGGCCTTCCTCTCGGTCGAGATGCAGGAGTTGAATATGTACGGGCACCATATTGCAGCGCGCCAAATCCCCGTTCAGCACTATACAGCTGTACTTGTAAACGCCTGCTCAAACCAGTGCCCGCAGTGGTAAAGACCACAGGACTAAGTATGACTAGTGTACAACTTAACAAGGAGCTACATGTACGTGGTAAACGTCAGGATAATAATAATTTTTTAAATAATTATTATCGTGACGCCAGTGAGTACATGTACAGGTAGGTGGATACCCTCGACCTACGCACAAGCATGCTACCTTACAGACCACTCATGGAAGGAAGTCAAACAAATTTCAAATGTAGTTCTTTTAGCTCTTGCCTTGGAACACAGTAGGAAGGAAATAAGAAACCAGGCTTGTTAGAATTAATTTTGGAATCAATGTGGGATCAGGAAGATATGCCTAGATAATGTCGTTGAATTCTAATATTGACGAATAAAATGGTGATCGAGATGGTTAGGCAATTTAGAAAGGTCCATCAAGAGGGCCATCAGCAGCCACTGCCGTTAGCTGAGGTGGAGTGGGCGCGCCCATAACCAGGAATGGTGACTGGTACACTTGAATACGGATGACTGATACCGTATTGATCTCAACCTGTAAAGTAAAGCGAAGACAAAACACACAAACAATGAGTCAACCAGAAGGCGCTAGTACTTGTGAATATTTCTCAAACAATTACGTAAACAGATAACTCGGATGGAGAGCCAGGGAGGAATTTAAAGGAATGAAAAAAGGACCAAAGAACTACAAGTTACGCTCTACTGTCCACTAACACCACCAGTTACTTGACAATGAGCTCATGCCATAACATTGCACGACACTGACCAACGGTACTGACGTTCTACAACAAACTGCTAATCAGCTTTAGCTCATCATGGATTAGCACTCCAACTGTGTTCCAACTTGAAAGGTCCCATATTGTAAGTTTGAGTACAAGTACTAACATAGGTCTTTACGTGAACATTCACATCATACAGAACAACTAGATATCGCAGGCGATACTTAGGGAACCTTTACCAGCATAATTATATGATCTGAGACGTAAGTGCACAAGTACGCAAGTGTAAGTGCACAAGTGTAAGTGCACCTTCCTATTTCAGAGCCATAGGCGATGCTCACCTTCATGCGGTAATTCATCCCTTCCACCACTTGTTCCACGTAGAGCGTTGCATTATACTTTCCAAAAGGAAGTCCGCTGTTGATCTTTTCCTCCACTGCTTTTCGCACCTTGGCACGGGAAAGGAAAGTGGGCACCGACACACAGAAAAACACACTTCAATGTTCTAGCGTTCTAGCCCAAACAGATGCATATGCGCCATCCCCAGCCAAGGCTAAGGTAATGAACATTCAGATGAAGCCTGGATTCTGATCAAGCAACTGAGCACCTCATAGAACGCTAAAAAATGGTTACATTGGGAATACACCAATTCTCTAGCCGTTTCACCACCGCTTGGGTAATAACGGTAATGCTCTAATGACCATGCAAAGTTCGCATGGATTTTACCACTTTGTGCAACGCTTCGATTAGCAGCATAAAGCCCACTGCCGTTAGTTTACGGACCAAGAATAAGTCAAGTCGCTCCATGTGACACACTGAATGTTTCACAAAGTAATTACCGCATCGCATGTTGCCTGGATGGGTTCTTCAGCTGGCTTGGGCGAGCTCCATCCCCCGAGTCCTTGCGCTGATTCGGACATGGTGAACACTGAACGGTCTTTCGGGCTAAACTAATCACTGAAATCTTCGGAAACCTCTTGCAATATGCACAGTGTTGCGCAAGTGCGAGCCTTTATATACTATCAGTGTACTGTGATGAAGTTCCCGGCATGATGCTCGCACACGAGGTGATCGGGTGCGTATGCGTGGGACAGTGTGGGAAAGTGCAGTGTCCCGATGTGTGATATAATGCAGTATTCCTGGGAACAGTTTTCTAGTAGCAGTGATCCAATTATCCGTTCCCCTGGGTGCTCGCTCATTGTACGAATTCCACTTCAGGGCAACACCTGCACTGTCCTCACTTCCGCAAAAATACTCAACTAGCGCCAAACACTACTAATCGTAGCGCCTTTAGCATAGCACTGAGAACTTGAGAAGTAGGACACACTCCAGGCTCTTGAACAAAATTTCGCATAGCATAGCTTCGGGATGTGAACACTTCTACTACAGTCTACATGTGCATAACAGAAGCAAACTGTCATTGTCCGTGCTACAGATGTTCCTGTTGACGTGTATATTCAGTGTTGCTGTGTACCCGTGTACTCGACAGCTGTGCACTGGTCCTTCGGTGTCTCCAGTTCATTTGTTAGTTTGTGCATGGCACAGTTGACAAAAAGACAGTACCGACACGTCAAATCTACATTTTAATGCGACACTGCAGGTTACAACGGATTATCTTGTTGATGAATGACAATACTGCTATTGAATATCATGTAGAATTGTAAATTATCAATTGCACCCAGTGCGATCATATTACGCAATCGATCGCTAAAATAATTGGTTTGACAGTTTTGGTTTGCATCTCATGCCTGCAGCAATCAGGCAAACATGACGGTCTATGGACAGTGATTGAACGTCAGGGCTGTAGGATGCTGCTTCACAACCTGCCTGCCAGCCGGCCAACGTCTGCTATTTTGTCACATGTCAGGATGCAGATGTAATGTTTGAAATTCATTGCTGCACGTCAGTTGCAAGTTCAAAGCCTGCACACAATGATCAATGTCACCCACCGTCGGACAGGAGACAGGAGGAACCCACGATATTCTGGGGTTAAGCAGGGTTGCGTGCCCATGGCACCGCTCTTCATAGACTTGTACCGCTGCTACCCCTTTCCGCTGCTGCTCGACACTTTTCTCAGTTCCAGAGAAAGAGGCCATCTGTGTGCACATCTGTGGCCAGCAAGACCAAGAACGTGCCCCACATTAATATTTCTTCATTGCAGACCCACCAACATTCAGTCAATGTGAGCATGTTCTGTACGGTTTGGCTATAAAACAAAAGAGCTAGATAATTCGCCTTTGGCCCATACGGTACGCTATGATGCTATACAAGTGAAGAAGGCATCATCCGGGCACCTTCCACAATATTCTATCCTACAGTATGTTAACCAGTGAATACGCGCAATTACCCTTGACACACACACACATGTTCTAACGCGTGTTTGATACATTGGTAATAGGGTGGTGAAGTCAGCATATTCTGTCTAGAAAACCTCAGGCGGCAACATTCACTAAGGGAATGGTCCATAATTGAGATGTCGTTATTAGACCTCAGAACAGACGGTGAACTGCGTGGTTCACATCAAGAGAATTCCGTAGCATGTGCATCCGTCAATTCACCGTCAGGCTATTTTGGCAAACATTCCACCTGGAGTATGGGCTTTACTTTCGGCATTGGGTGCACCGGGGACGGATCCGGTCCTTGTCTAATTGACAGTCACGGAGCCTGTTTTTCAGCTGGGTGTGCAAGGATGTACAATGTGGATTTACTCGGAATTCAGTTGATGACGGAAATGTGCTCGTCTGTATCCTCGGGAAGCAACGCACCTCATGCACCTCATGCACCTCATGCACCTCATGCACCTCATGCACCTCATGCACCTCATGCACCTCATGCGTAGACAGTGCAGTGTAGAGTCATTCTGCGTACTTGCATTCGTTCTATTACACGCAGTAAAGAGAGAGAGAGACAAGAGAGAGAGGGAGGGAGAGAGAGAAAGAAAGAAAGAGAGAGAGAGAGAGAGAGAGAGAGAGAGAGAGAGAGAGAGAGAGAGAGAGAGAGAGAGAAGGAGAGAGGGAGAGAGAAAAAGAGAGAGACAGAGAGAGAGAGAGAGAGAGAGAGAGAGAGAGAGAGAGAGAGAGAGAGAGAGAGAGAGAGAGAGCGAGAGCGCGAGAGAGAAAGAGAGAGAGAGAGAGGGAGAGAGGGAGAGAGAAAGAGAGAGAGAGAGAGAGAGAGAGAGAGAGAGAGAGAAAGAAAGAGAGAGAGGGAGAGAGGGAGAGAGAAAGAGAGAGAGAGGGAGAGAGAAAGAGAGAGATAGATAGAGAGAGAGAGAGAGAGAAAGAGAGAGAGAGGGAGAGCGGGAGAGAGAAAGAGCGAGCGAGAGCGAGAGAGAGAGAGAGAGAGAGAAAGAGGGGGAGAGCTTTGAAAGCCCTGCCATAAACTGGCATTGAGCGATATTTGTATTGTGTTTTATTATTTTACGTGTAAATTCCCAATAAAACCTAAGGTCGTCTTACAGGGCGCCCTAGGTGATTTTATAATAATTATATAATGTGTTAAAAGTTCTTCGCAAAATGGATATAGGATATTTCTTTTCGTGCAGTGGAGGACCCTATGTGATTATGTTCAGTTCCAGTACGTGTAGTTATTATGTTGTCTGGCCATTCACTGTAGCAATGGAGTAGGATAGTGTACCGAGCCCCGAACGTTGTATTTCTTACTTGCGAATCCATTGAAGTTAGATGCAGGATTCTATTAGACTGGATACAGCAGAACACTTCTGTTCACTTGCCTAAGGCCTCGGTCACACTACGGCAGTTTGAAGCTGGACGCAGCGTCAAGCCGCAGCACTTGACGGAGACGCGGGGTCACACAGTGTTTTGTTTTTTTTGCAGCTCAGGACTGCCGCGGCTTGACGCATTTGTCTACGTCACAAAACCACCAGGAAAACTCAATGACGACACGGATTCCCACGGAAACCGGCCTTTTGCTTATTATACAAAAAATTTGTCGGACAAAGTTTTCGAATTTTTCATTGATTTTTGATTACAAGAAGACGAAAGGTACTAGGTCCACGCGTGCACGATCGTTGTTGTTTCTTTCCGAATTTGAAGCCATTTTCAGTTGTAGTGTCATTGATCAGGCAAGAAAAGTCTGCATCGCAGCTGTGTTTCTCATGACTTCGTCATACTGGTTGTCCTTTTTGGGGCTCTTGACGACAACACAACACTCACAAGTCAACAGGCTCCAGTTGGCCGATGACCCACTCAAACAACTGGTCCTTTCTCGACATCATTTTCTTCTCAGAAAGCACCTCGCTCTTCCGCCAGGTTCGGAGCAGAGCAGCCTCGGCCTCGTAGGTCCACGGACTCATCTCGAACAAAAAGAGGGAACAAAACAAACCTTGAACAGACGAATGTCGAATAACTGCTCAACTCAAGCAAAGTGTCTTGAAACTAATTTTACTTGAAAGACACTGTTTTTCCGCCAAGCGTCACTCCCATCAGCGGCAACGCAGCCGATTTCCCCACGTCAGACGCAGCAGCGTCTGACGCTCAAACTTCCCGCGTTGCGTCAGTTGCCATGGAAAAGGTCATGATTCTGACGCTGACGCAGCATTTTTGCCGTAGTGTGACCGAGGCCTAAAGTATCCAGGATTCAAAGTCTTCACAGCGCCAACTCCGCGACGCTGTACTACTAAACGAATCGGTCACATTGCGCCCGCGATACCACCACACAATAAGAGCAATATCACGGAAAAGAAGTATATTCTGTATCGAATCAGTCTAAAAGAAAAGAGAGATTGGTGCGAGAGGAGATAAGTATAGATTATAGACCGGTTAGGAGGTCTATACAGGATATATAGACCGAGTAAAAGACCGAGGTCCCCCGAGGTCTTTTACGAGGTCTATATATCCTGTATAGACCAACTATGAGGTCTATAATCTATTTATCGTGTTCTCCACGCAAACGTTTCTCTTCATATACGACATATCCTTATAATTCTAGTATTATACTATAGCCTATACCGCATTGTACTGCATTGAAAGTCAAGATCATTGTTTAAACTAGGTTCAGCATCGGTAGCACAGTGGCTGGGTGGTAAGGAAGAGTGACTGAGGTTCACAAGGTTGTGGGTTCTAATCCCATCTTGTGTATTTCTGCTTTCTTCAAAAATTTCTTTTTCTAAGTTGGAGAGAAAATTTCTAAGTCCAAGAAGTTCTAAGGAGTCAAATATAAGTAGTCAAATATATCGCGTATTTGACTAAGCAGTCAAATACGCGATATATTTGACCGCTTAGGTATCAGGGAAATTAGTGGGGTCAAATACTAAGAAGGCGATAATGTGGGAATATGGCAACTAAATCACCTTAACGACTATAATTTGAATGGCACTCTATCAACGACAAACGTTAGAGGTACTTCGAAGTACAAAATCGTGTAAAGCAGTCGACAATAGAATCGAATAGAGAGGAAAGCAGAACAAAGCCAATACATTTTCAGCGTCAATCTTCTGATGACGGTGGTCCTTCGTCCAGACTGCCATCGACGTATGCCGTTACCTCAGTCGGTATCTCAATAGGCTGGATTGGAGGTGGGGTGTAGACCTTGATTTGGACACGGATTTGCGCAATTGGATTGATCCAAACCTGCAAGAGTGCACAGATTCCCCCAAACCAAAAACATATTAATAGTCAGACTATGACGTACTGGTAAGATAACGATGAGCTGAATGTTCCACATCATTCTACCTACTACACGCGGTCATCGCAGCCCATTTCTCCCTGTATCAGTATAAGGCAGTTTAGGGCATGATCAACGATCTAGGGTTGGGTGTTGGCGTGAACTAGCGGCACCTTCAAGCAAGTATGCTGTGGGTGTTGCTACTTCTACTGGCTGAAGAACGCTTTTGCGTGAATTTCTGGATGAATAGACAAGCATTCCCCGATGCAGTAAACTGATGCTGCTGGTAAACTAACACCACACTTAGCAGCTTAGACATTTGAGTGCCACCTACTGCACTTTGCGCAAGGTCTAATCAGGCAATACAGCATACAGAGTTTCTGCAGGATATGTAACGAATACTAAATGTTTTTTGAATTTTAAAGTTGATGCTGAATGTGACGCGTTCCAAGGTCTTTCAAGGAACATCGTTCTGTAGTAGTGTTATGTGCTATAAAATATAAAAGCAACATTATCACTGAATTTGCTTTTCTTTAGATGGCGATATAGGGATCAGACTCACCTTGACTCGTGTCAGTATGTATTCATTCTTCTTGTTCAGCTGAGTGAAATAGGTCGGTGTGAACTGGTCAAACCTGGTCCCTCCGTTGTAGAACTTCTCAATGCCCTTGCGAACCTAAGACATGGATAATACATGTACACAGTAGATTCTGTTTGGCCTGCAAGCCAAGCAGGAATGCATTGCAGGACAAGACAAGGACGGATTTATTCTACAACGAGCATACGCATAACATAATGAGAAAGAGAGACAGTACGGAGAGAGGCAATACGGCGACAAACACTATACACTACAAATTCAACTATAGGAAAATATCACCAAGCCAAAGACCAGAACAATATCCTACTTCCTGAAAGCGTTCCCAGCTGACATTTAGAGTTCCAGGTGCCACTAGTCTCTCACTCAAAGACCCAAGTTCGGAAATAATAACAAAAACGTGGATATGTATCAAAGGTTATAGCTTTTCGTAGCACACATTTAGCAAACTCTTCCTACCTGTATGTGTGCCCATGCTCCTACACAATTATGTGAACACGTACTGCACTCGAAGATTTGAATGGGTCCAATGGATGTAGCCCTTACAGATCTTCATAGTACATTTCACATTCATAATAATTATGGAATCTAGACTAGGTTAAGAGTTTTGTTAGAAAGACTATTCGAAAAGAGCCACCATACGTTTATCTACCAACACTAGTACGTCGAAGTAGGGGTAGGAAAATTTGCACAATCAAGTCAGATATGCTGAACTGTATTCAGGTTGTAGATGTGTCGGTACTCTCAGTCAACTTTGTGCCATTTTGGCACAATATCTGATTTAGTTACGTTGGCCGACCCTTAGTCGCAACACGTTACATGTTCTCCTTCCTCTTGTGCATATTACAGTTTTGCTTTGAAAACAATTCACAGAGCGGTATGCCCTACCTTGCAACATAGCGTCTTCACGTCTTGGGAAGCTTCGCTTGGAGAGGACCATTGAGGAGGATAGAAATACACGTCATCAAATAAAACCCTGGCCATTTTTGATGGAGAACGAGCTGGCGCCGGCTTCAAAAGGTGAATGTGTAGATACAAGAGCTGTACTTTCAGACTGGATTCAAAACTATGGAGGGAGACAACAGCTTATAAACCTTCAAATCGAAGCATGAAAAACATAGCCTGATTCGAGACCGCATCACCTGATGTGTTGATGTACACATCAAGCAAAGGCATTCGCATCGATGGGCTACCGCTTCGTCCATAATTATATCCCCAGTGTCGAATGCAGACCTAAGAAGTGAATCAGTGGAGATGGGAGGAGTCTCTCAAACAAGATGGCGTAATTCGCTGACTTTAGCCTTGCTGGAAGCGGAAAGGATTTAAAGTGGGATAGCCTCACCAACAGATGGACTGGTCACTCAAGGACTGACTGGGAAAATGATATCGATTACAGCGTGACGTGGCATTCTGATTCAATGTCACTTGTGGTCTGGCCAGCATGGAATACTAAGAAACATTCTGCCGAGTGTCTTATTGTTTGCACAAGCATTAGTGTACGTGTCGGTTTTTAGAGAGCGTCTATCGTATCTGGCAACGGTACCCGGGAATCTGAAAATCGGCGCATCCTGTTTGCTCAGAAATGTTCAATGGCGTCCAATTTACGGGCTTTTGTACCTATCATAATCTGCGCTACATGTACAGCATGTCGATAAGTTTATACGTGTACATGTACATGTACAGTAGATAGTATATGCACACACGCCCTACGTTGTACATCAAGCAACCTTTCAGCTTCTCAGGTTGCGACTGGCGGCTAGAATTCAAGGAAACGGACTGACTTCTATGAGCCACTTCCGCTGATACTTCAGTACTTGATAAAGGCAAATCAGAGTTGCAAGTGGATTCTACTGTTAGTGGGGGTTGTAGTCAGAACGACGACCATCACATGCCTGACAAACCTAACCCACTCCCTCCCCCAATTTCGAAATAATCCTGTCATCAAGAAATCAAATTCCTTTTAGACTCCTGATCATTTGACGTTGCCAAGTGGCGCGTTGTTCTGTAGATTTTTGGTGGTCGTTTCTATAATTGAAGAGGGATAACCCTATTTGGCCCGTTTACCACGAATACCCAGAGGTGTGTGATCTAAGAGGTCATGCGCTTTCCTTTCCATGATGAGGTCCTAGAGGCAAGAAGCGTGTACAGCACGAACAGAAAAAACATAGAACCGAGGAAGCAAGCACTTTTAAACTCTCCAGCATATTTTTGAATCTAATTAGTTACGCTTCGTCGCTCAGGAAATTCTGGAACGCTGTAGTGTCTCATTTCGCCCCACCTCACGATCCAATCGTGTGGTATTTGTACACCCTGTCGTCCTCACACATGCTCGAGAATAATGCATTGCTCTTGTACAACCAGACCGGGGCCATCTTGTACTGTGCTGCTGCTACTTATCAGTGAATTGGAAACCATGTTTGCCATTGGCGTCCTGCACCTTTGCTGAGTCGAGCGTTTGAGGTCTGGCGACACTGTTCATTTCCCTTTTGGCCTTGGAGCGAAAAGATCACTCACATATTTATTTAGCAAAAGCAAGAGTACATACTCATATCACGCAACGCTCTCTACTGCATTGTTCACCCTCCACCTACTTAATAATTCTGCAGCTCCTTTGCCCCTTTTCTTCTGATGTGTGCTGTTTTGTTCCTGACACAGTGATCGTTTGTTTTTGTTATTTTCCCACAGCGTATCATTTGTTATCCTGCTGCCTTCGTTGTCCAGCACAAGCGAAAAAGTCGACCTATCGGTCGACTACAACGCGAAAATGCACATAATAATAATAATAATAATAATAATAATAAAACTCGGATGTTGAGCCATAAATAAATGTAGAAAGGAAAGAGACATTATGGATACGAGTTAAGAGTAACTCTCCATCACTGTAACATGATACTTTATACAGTCAGAAATATCTTTGATATTTATGACCCACCCAAGTTGGGTGGTGTGCTGCTTTGCTGCTTCGAATTGTAGTTAGACCGCTTTGTCAGATATCGTACTGGTCTCGTCATCCGGTCCAGTAACAATCGACATTCTTTGTTCCGTTGGGACTGTAGCTTTTGCTCGTTTTCGTTGCGCTTGCCTTCCCCTCTTTGGTCTTTTCCATAACCTTGAACCTTCCAAGTTGGAAGGCTGTCGGTTAGCGCTACGGAGATGTGTTGAAGCTAGGTGTCCGGACGTCGAATGTCTCAGTACTCTGTCAGTTTTGTGCCTAGTTATTGCACTTTCTGACTGTATAAAGTATCATGTTACAGTGATGGAGAGTTACTCTTAACTCGTATCCATAATGTCTCTTTCCTTTCTACAATAATAATAATGAGAGTATATAACCTGGCGTATCCGGGTTAGATATTTAATCTTGGTAAACGCAAAATGTACAATCAAGTACTTATTTATATTGATTTCTTCACACCCAGCCAACCGAACAGTGAAATAAGCCGACAAAACCTCGTTTTCAACACAGGTATCTCACCCGTCTAAACTTGTGAAGTACATGAAGGGAACAAGTGTACATTGGTGTCACAGTTGACATGCCCTTTTGCTATGTGAGCGGCAGAACAATGAAGGATTGAGGCGAGTAGATGTAAGAGAATCAGTGAACACATTTACAGCTGGTAGCAGTATACTGAAGCAGTAAAACTTGGAGAAAAGCCACATTATTAATGCAATTTCAAAACAGAGATCAGCAGCGCATCAGGGTCATGCAGTCATGAAATTCCTGTATGAACACCATTCTTCCGTTCTGGCCGAGTTAACGTGGGAGCGGCGGCGGGCCTTCTTCCAGACTTCCATCGCAGTAGGCCCTCACTGTTGGGCTGACGTACAATGGTTCCGTTGGAGGAGGTGTTATGTGGTGGACTTGCAGACGGATTTGTGCAATCGGATTGATCCAAACCTGAACAATTGGAAATCAAAGAAAACACAACACTATAACTATAACTCATGTAGACTGCGTTGGAATCCAGGATACTTACACGTGACACCTGCCTCCCTCAGATTCTGATTGGGTAGCGATAGTGCTACTGGTATTCATGTATGTACAGTAAAATTTGTGAAGGCGGCCACTCGGATAAGGCGACCACCTGTCCCAGGGGATCATTGCAACCAGGACCAAGGAATGCTACCTCCAGTCAACTGATCCTGGTTAATAAGACCACCTGTACACAGCGACCACGTTTCGAAGGTCCCTTGAGTGGTCGCCCTAGACAGGTTTCACTGTACTTGTCTATACCAGTGCCATTTAACTCACTGTTCAAAGTACCGTCTCATCACCCATAGACTAATGTACAATGGACCATCTCCACAACGGGATATAGCAAACATTATGCCAAAAATATATAATTAATTTGTGTAAACTTGGATATCGATTATAGTCACATGACCAAATCAACCATTCCCAATATCGCAGCGCCAACGAAATTATTTAAAATCAAACCTTACTCGCTGTAGGAGCACGACTCACCTTCACTCGTGTTGCTTCGTACTCATTCTTCTTGGTGATTGACGTAAAGTAGGTTGGTGTGAACTGTTCAAACTTGTTTCCTCCGTTGTAAACCTTTTCGACTCCATCGCGATACTGAAACAAAACCATGTGATACGGCAGAAGTGAAATCTGAGTAGACATGGCGATCTAACAATTTTTACAAGTGGCCAAAGATTTAATCCTGTTCGAAATTGGAGAAAATGAGAGAGAAGGCTAAGACCAAGGGGACACATAATAAATTCAGATAAATTAACGTGGAAGCATACATACTTGTTGGCTTATCATACAGGGCTAAGTTGTTGCCCTGTATTCGGGGTAGCACAGAGTGAAAGTTCAAGCATCAATCGAATTTTTAGGGAGATGAGAGCTGCCCTCGTCATGATGCAACAAGCACCAAAAATGAACATTGTGCCAACCACTACGCTTAGCGCTTGTTGCTTACCTTTGCACACAATGTCTTGATTTCCTCTGTAGCTGGAGCCGGAGAGGACCATTCCGGAGGGTAGAATGTAGCACCATCCATAAAGACAGCGTCCATGATGACGAGTAAACAACAGATTGGGAAGTTGAGTGAAGGGCTGGAAAGGAGTTTCAGTCCACTGCAATGGTTTCTGTTTGTCGGCAGAATGCGAATCACATGGTTTTATACCTTACACAGGCCCTTTATTGTCTATACATGTACATGTACATGCATACAAGTTGGACATTCTGTTTAGTGCGAAGAGGGCGATGTGGACGCAAGCAACACTTGACACTGTCGGTGATCAAAGAAACCATACATGTACATTATTTCTAGGGGTTTCCGGGGATGCTGAATTGCTGTTGCTTCATGAGGTGGCAGTCTGATTCATGTCACTTGGCATGTCACAAGTGTCCTGATAATTTTGAATGTTTGGATGATGGGCATTGATCTTTGGAATTCTAAAGCTATTTCTCCAAAGGGTTTAATTCTATTCTCACGCCAGCATACCCAGGACTAAATCTATACTACATTGTCATTTCAATATCAACGGAATCCGTGCTTTGTAATTTCGGTGGTGATAGGACAAAACAGAAGACAGCCCCACAAGCTAACCCATGCCAGTTAGTAGATCGGCTCCCAGGCAATGTGAAGGATAGTAACTACAATTGGGAATGTCCACCATGCATTACCCAAACAAAGAGAGGACTATTCTGCAAAATATTTATACAGAAGACATTTCATTTAATCAGCAGGCATGCTTGACGTGCAGTCCCTGCTCGCTGCTGCACGCGATCGATTTTTATGGCGTTCGTTTGTTTATACTTGCCCTCACGTGTGCATGATCCTCTTGCTGTCAAGTAGGGCCGTACACATGAACATCAGTATAAGAATGATACACCTGTCATTCACGGCCTGTTTGAAAGCTTTAGCCGCAGCATAAACAATTCAATACTGTGTCGACATGAGTGCGAGTCTGTCACATTCTTGTCATGACCTGGTCTTGCCAGCAGTCGCTCCCGGCACTTATGCCCTTGAGAAGCGTTTAAGTCAGCATACATGTACATGTACGCATACTTGTACATAATCATTGGACATGCACATGTATATGTACATGTACACTGTACACTGTACGTACAGCTACGATCAGCGGCGGATATTCTGGGGTTATGTGGGGATGAGAACTGGCGCGGGGATTGCACAAGCACATCTACGGCGACATCCTGTTGGCAATTAACGTTGAGCTGGAAAATATCTCCACAGCACATACAAAATTTCATAATATTAACGTTAGTATCTGGCGTTGAAGTAGTTCGGAGCAGACCTCAAGTGTAGGCACACATTGCAGGTCGACAAGCCCGGACTCAGAACAATGTTGCAAATTGGAGATCGACCTCAAGCCTACGGCATTCTTCATGCTACCAAGATACTAACACACAGGGGTACATGTACACGTACATACATGGGAGCTTATTTACTCATGATGTTACTGACTGCAGTATTACTCCCTTGTTGGAAATGGTCATCATTTTTATCATGAAACGGCTTCAGAGTTTCAGCTACTTCGAAGTACACGGTACTCCAGGTGGTAAGCTATTAGGACATAATATTACGCCAGCCGAGTGATATCCCTGCAAATGTTGCTCTCACTGCATTCGGTGCATATGCTACCAGTCAGCCCTTTCGAATAGGTGCACACCGCTCTTGCCTAACCACAAGTCTCCAGCGAGATGTCCGCCTTGCACCTATCTGCGTTTTTAAGCCCAGCTGACCTCGTGATCTCCGCAGTTATGCCCGCGACCGAAAACATTGGAGTAATATCTGCTCAGCCATTTAGTCTAGGACTGCTCTTCTTAAATTTGACCTTTATTACAAGACTCTCTAGTACTGAGACATTCGGCGACCTGACACCTAGCTCCAACACGTCTCCGACGCCCAAACCAACAACTTGGAAGGCTCGGGTTCGGAAAGGTCCAAGAGGGGTGTCAGGTCGCCGAATGTATCAGTATTCCTTGTCAGTTTTGTGCCATCTTGCCGCACTCGCTGACTGTATAAGATCTGGTTACGTTGGTGGATAGTTAGTCATAACTCGTAACATTTTGTCCTTCTCCTTTTTCACCAAAATTTGATTGGCTCACCATCCGAGTTGCATTTTGCGTACATATTCTCCATTTTCTGTTTTCCTCATTTTTCCTTAGTTGGTCTCACCCTCTTCTCTCCTCAATTCAATTGGCTGGCTTGACATGCTACGAGGTGCAGCAATATAATATAACAATGCGTGTGTTCTGTATTGAATACAATCAGGTATGCATGTCGAGGGTTGAAACAAGTCGTAAACATTCTCTCACGGGCCCATGCCTAGGGCGCGAGAACTTAGAGATGAGTAGACTGCTTGGACATTGTGATAAGACTAAGCAGATGGATACCCAAAAATAACAGCTGACCTTTAAAAATACATGTGCATTTCGACGTGTAGAATATGAAGGCATAGAAGGCACTCGCATCGATGGGCCACCACTTCGCCCATAATTATATCCCTAGTGTCGAATGCAGACCTCAGAAGTGAATCAGTGGAGATAGGAGGAGTATCTCAAACAAGAGGGCGTAATTCGCTGACTTTAGCCTTGCTGGAAGCGGAAAGGATTTAACGTGGGATAGCCTCACCAACAGATGGACTGGTCACCCAGGGACTGACTGGGAAAATGATATTGATGACAGCGTGACGTGGCATTCTGATTCAATGTCACTTGTGATCTGGCCAGCATGTGATACTGGTGATTACGTTAAATTTATCGTATATTATTGTTTGCACAAGCATCAGTGTACGTGTCGGGTTTTAGAGACTGACTATCGTATCTGGCAACGGTACCCGGGAATCTGCGAATTAGCGCATCCTGTTTATTTAGATATGTTCACTGGCGTCCAATGTATGGGCTTTTGCACCTGTCCTAATCTGCGCTACATGTACAGCATGTCGATAACTTGATACGTGTACATGTATATGTACAGTAGATAGTATATGCACACACGCCCTACGTTGTACATCAAGCAACCTTTCAGCTTCTCAGGTTGCGACTGGTGGCTAGAATTCAAGGAAACGGACTGACTTCTATGAGCCATTTCCGCTGCTACTTCAGTACTTGATAAAGGCAAATCAGAGTTCCAAGTGGATTCCACTGTTAGTGGGGGTTGTAGTCAGAACGATGACCATACAACAACAACAACCATCACATGCCTGACAAACCTAACCCACTCCCTCCCCATTTTCGAAATGATCCTGTCGTCAAGAAATCAAATTCCTTTTAGACTCCTGATCATTTGACGTTGCCAAGTGGTGCGTTGTTCTGTAGATTTGTGGTGGTCGTTTCTATAATTGAAGAGGGATAACCCTGTTTGGCCCGTTTACCACGAATACTCAGAGGTGTGTTGTCTAAGAGGTCATGCGATTCCCTTTCCATGATGAGGTCCTAGAGGCAAGAAGCGTGTACAGCACGAACAGATAAAACATAGAAATGAGGAAGCAAGCACTTAAACTCTCCTGCATAGTTTTGAATCTTACTAGTTCCGCTTCGTCGCTCAGGACATTCTGGAACGCTGTAGCGTCTAATTTTGCCGCACCTCACAATCCAATCCTGTGGTATTTGTGCACCCTGTCGCCCTCACACTTGCTTCAGAATCATGCATTGCCATTGTACAATCAGACAGGGGCCATCTTGTACTGTGCTGCTGCTACTTATCAGTGAATTGGAAACCATGTATGCCATTGGCGTCCTGCACCTTTGCTGAGTCGTGCGTTTGAGGCCTGGCGACACTATTCATTTCCCTTTTGGCCTTGGAGCGAAAAGATCACTCACTTATTTGTTTAGCAAAAGCAAGAGTACATACTCATATCACCCAACGCTCTCTACTGCATTGTTCACCCTCCACCGACTTTTAAGTCAAATTCTGCAGCTACTTTGCCCCTTTTCTTCTAATGTGTGCTGTTTTGGTTCTGACACAGTGATCGTTTTTTTGGTCTTTTTTCCCACGGCGTATCATTTGTTATCCTCCTGCCTTCGTTGTCCAGCACAAGCGAAGAAGTGGACCTATCGGTCGACTACAACCTCGAAAATGCACATAATAATAATGAGAGTACATATCCTGGCCTCACAGCGTCCTCCATTGATGCGTATGCAATCATTGCTTGATTGCCTGGTGTCGATGATGGCTGGCGTAGGATGTGTCCAAGCAGACGCCATCTCGCTCGCTTTGCCATAGCGGGTCAGGAGGGGAGCTCCAAGGTCCTGTTTAGTCACCACCCTCCAGCAAGACGTCAAGTTCACCGCCGTCGCATTGAAGACGAGCCGGCACCTCGAAACCCTAAGAAGTTGTGCAGTTGACCGGCAGAAGTGGAGTAACATTTGTTCTGCGGTGGTGTGAACACACATGACCGGCTGTGGTTTTGGTGTGGACGCAGATGACTAACTGTGATGACCAATGATTTCATTTCATTTATCTTATTTTTTTATTTTTCTAAGAAAGAGCTTTGCTGATGTGGTGTATTGGAACTCATGTGAAATCTACACCGTGATTGTTTTCGTCAAATATCATATCTTATCTTTTCTCTCTCTGCCGCGGTGCTTTTTGTCACTCCATTGTCGTGAGTTCCCTTTGGAACGTAGACGAGAATTATTATTAGGGAAGGTGAGACAATAGAAGTAAAGTGAGAGCTAAGTGCAACAGGGGTGAGGAACTAATTGCAACGCTAGAACTGTGTAGTGAGACAAACAATCATGCTGTGCACCTACGAAAACAATCTTAACGCAACTACATGTTTCTTCTGCTTACAAAGATCAGGCTTATGCAAACGAATACTTGAGGCTGTTTGTATTCGTTTGCATAAGCCTGATCTTTGTAAGCAGAAGAAACATGTAGTTGCGTTAAGATTGTTTTCGTAGGTGCACAGCATGATTGTTTGTCTCACTACACAGTTCTAGCGTTGCAATTAGTTCCTCACCCCTGTTGCACTTAGAATTATTATTATTAATTATTATTATATCCTGGCGTATCCGGGTAAGATATGTAATCTTGGTTGGTTGGTAAACGCAAAATGTACAATCAAGTACTTATTCATATTGATTTCTTCACACCCAGCCGACCGAACAGTGAAATCGAGCTTACAAAACCTCGTTTTCAACACAGGTATCTCACCCGTCTAAACTTGTGAAGTACATGAAGGGAATAAGCGTACATTGGTGTCACAGTTAACATACCCTTATGCTATGTGAGCGGCAGAGCAATGAAGGATTGAGGCGAGTAGATGTAAGAGAAGCCGTGAACAAATTTAGCGGATAGCAGTATACTGAAACAGTAAAGCTTGCAGAAAAGCCACATTAATAAAACAATTTCAAAGTAGATATCACCAGCACATCAGGGTCATGCAGTCATGAAATCCTGTATGAACACCATTCTTTCGTTTTGGCCGAGTTAACGTGGGAGCGTCGGCGGGCCTTCTTCCAGACTTTCATCGCAGTAGGCCCTCACTATTGGGCTGACGTACAGCGGTTGGATTGGAGGAGGTATATCATGGTGGACCTGTAGACGGATTTGTGCAATCGGATTGATCCAAACCTGAACAATTGGAAATCAAGAAAGCACAACACTATAACTATAACTCATGAAGACTGCATTGGAATCCAGGATACTTACACGTGATACCTGCCTCCCTCAGATTCTGATTGGGTAGCGATAGTGCTACTGGTATTCATGTATGTACAGTAAAATTTGTGAAGGCGGCCACTCGGATAAGGCGACCACTTGTCCTAGGGGACCACTACAAACAGGACCAAGGGATGCTACCTCCAGTCAACTGATCCTGGTTAAGAAGACCACCTGTACACAGCGACCACGTTCCGAAGGTCCCTTGAGTGGTCGCCCTAGACAGGTGTCACTGTACTTGTTTATATCGGTGCCAATTGACTCACTGTTCAAAGTACCGTCTCATCACCCATAGACTAATGTACAGTGGACCATCGACACAACGGGATATAGTAAAAATTATGCCAAAAATGTAAATTTGTATTAACTTGGGTATCGGTTATATTCAAATGACCCAGCCAACCATTCGCAACATTGTAGCGCCAACGGCATTGTTTGAAATCAAACCTTACTCGCTGTAGGTGTACGACTCACCTTCACTCGTGTTTCTTCGTACTCGTTCTTCTTGATTGAGGTAAAGTAGGTTGGTGTGAACTGTTCAAACTTGTTTCCTCCGTTGTAAACCTTTTCGACTCCATCGCGATACTGAAACAAAACCATGTGATACGCACAAGTGAAATCTGAGTAGACATGGCGATCTAACAAATTTTACAAGTGGCCAAAGATTTTATCTTATTCGAAATTTGAGAAAAGACAAAGGGGACACACATAACAATTTCAGATAAATTAACTCGGGAGCATACATTTTTGCTGGCTTAGCACACGGGGCCAAATTGTTGGCCTGTATTCGGGGTAGCACAGAGTGAAAGTTCAAGCATCAATCGAATGTTTAGGGAGATGAGAGCTGCCCTCGACATGATGCAACAAGCACCAAAAATGAACATTGTGCCAACCACTACGCTTAGCGCTTGTTGCTTACCGTTGCACACATTGTCTTGATTTCTTCTGTAGCTGGAGCCGGAGAGGACCATTCCGGAGGGTAGAATGTAGCATTATCCATAAAGACAGGGTCCATGATGACGAGTAAACAAAAGATTGGGAAGTTGAGTGAAGGGCTGGAAAAGAGTTTCAGTCCACTGCAGTGGTTTTTGTTTGTCGGCAGAATGCGAATCACATGGTTTTATACCTTACACAGGCCCTTTATTGTCTATACATGTACATGTACATGTATAAAAGTTGGACATTCTGTTTGTGGCGAAGAGGGCGGTGTGGACGCAAGCAACACTTGACACTGTGGGTGATCAAAGAAGCTATACATTATGTCTAGGGGTTTCTGGGGACGCTGAATTGCTGCTGCCTCAAGAGGTGGCAGTCTGATTCATGTCACGTGGCATGTCACAAGTGTCCTGATAATTTTGGAATGTTTGGTAATGGGCATCTATCTTTGGAATTCTAAAGCTATTTCCCCAAAGGGTTTAATTCTATTCTCACGCCAGCATACCCAGGACTAAATCTATACTACATTTGCCATTTCAATATCAACGGAATCCGTGCTTGGTAATTTCGGTGGTGATAGGACAAAACGGAAGACGGCCCCACAAGCTAACCTATGCTAGTTAGTAGATCAGCTCCCAGACAACGTGAAGGATAGTAACCACAATTGCGAATGTCCTAGCCACCCTGCATTACCACAACAAAGAGAGGACGACTCTGGAAGATGTTTATACAGCAGACATTCCATTTATACGGTAGACATGCTTGGACATTGTGTTTCAGAGGATGCAAGCGGGTGGGAGTGGTCGTGCCTTTCTAACTCTTTTTATTACGTGCAAGTCTTCTAAACGATGTAAACATGGGGTACTCGGGGGCGGATCCAGGAGGGGTTACAGGGGTTCCAGGGTTTTAGGGAACCCATTAAATTTCGTTAATGTACTACTGGCAACCAATGCGTGTCCATGTACACGTATGAGCTAATAATAGGAGTATGAAGAAGAGGTTGGTGTGACTTCGGCGATAGTAGGGGAAGAGTGTCTTGCTCCCTACATGGGAGCTCACAATGTTGTCCCCAGCGCGGGCTTGCGAATTAGATGGTTTGGAGGCAACAACGTTTTGAATGGCCAACGGTCCTCAGCGCTTGTTCAGCACACCCATGAGCAACACTGACTCACGCTGCTATCCGGTGTTCACGAGGTGTTTGTCGCGCTGGAAACGGTGCGTCTCTGTAAGTGTGTATCCCTGGTGATGTTTGTGCCTGGAGAGCACTATATAGGTGGTGCTCTTCAGGCACAATCTTCCTCTGCCTACTCAAACTCAACTGATGAGGGGTGAACTCCCCGGAACACTGTGTATTGAGCAGGGAGTGATGCTTTCTTGCAGGTTTGCCAAGTGGACGGTTCGATGGATTTCTCATGTGCTCCTGATGGCAGTCGTGAGTCAGTCAAGTGAGAATTCAAGTCGGCCGGAAAACCGCGAGCTCCCATGTATTGAGCAACACATCCTTCCCCTGATAATAAGAGGATGGAAAAAAGTTTTTACTCCGACTTTCACGCACTACTAGTAAGCTATCATCCGAAAACCGTAATGAGTAAATCTGGATACATGTACATGTACTGGCTTTACTGGCTTTTATACCCACAAAGCAAAAGTTAATGTTTTCTGAAGATTGCTTAGTTCGTGAAATTCGGAGTAAAACCACCCTTTTCATCCTCTTATTATTGTTTGAACTACTAGCTCTGCCTTTCGGTATTGAGCACTTTATTGGAAAGCCTGGAACCTCTCTGTTTTACATGTATCAGCTACTGAAATTCGACTACTGTGTAAGTACTAATTTTCGTTCACGAAATATTTCGTTATTTCACTCAACCAGCAGACTTGTGTTACAAATTTTAGTTATTTCGTGCCCCCTAAATAATTATAGCGAAAGTTAATTCGAAACGAAAATTTGTACTTACTGTATACTGGACCTTCCCCCCCCCTTGAGAGATCGCTAGATCCGCTGCTGGCACTACTTGTAACTGAGAACCTACATGTACATGTACCGTAAAATCCAGCATAACCAACCTCCAACCCCTTCCTTACTTTGCACAGTGCAGCGCAGTCTAAGGCTATGTGTCAGCACTAAAAGTTATTCAACTGCCAGATTTGATTATTCTCTTGCAGTCTTGGAACCTAGCATCAATGCCTTAGTCATTCAGTGCTTGACAAGCTGCTAGTCCAATGAGCTGTGGAGTCTGAGAGGAAGTGTCATGCGGGTCAAACCCATTGATGATCCCAGTGCATCCGTTTGGACAGTCGCCCATCGCAAGATCACTTGTACTTGCAATGTTTGACATCGCTATGACCATTCCATTTTGCACTCTCAATTTTGACTAGTCGGAGGGAACATACTAACACGACAAGCTACGGAGGAAATTGAAATTCCAATGGGATCATTCGTGTCGTGACTTATCAAATCAGTACATGGGAAAAAATGCCATGCTCATACATGTATCTTACTTGTTAGGCGCAAGCCGCATAACATTGTTCAACTAGGGTACGATCTATTGCTTCATGGCCACTTCATCGCCAACTTTGTATAAATAGTCAGTGCCTCATCCGATTTACTAGCTTCGTCGATACGCTTCCGAATTGTTGAACCATTTGTTCTGTTTTTCGTGCGAACTTCACTTTCCATTACTGAGGCCATGGAAGCGAGTGCAGCAAACCAATTGCCGGGATTGGTGGGTTTGAAACCTGAACAGGCCAGCGCCGAAGTCCAAGAAATATGCAATCAGGTGAAGATTACATGTACAGTACATGATTGTGCATCTTTATTCGTGTTGCTCAGGTGCACAAAGAATGAATAATTATTGTCTTCTTGGGAATGTGAATTTAGATTCTTGTTTGCTTATCACCCTCTCCTTTGTCACTGATACTCTTTTACTCCCTTCACCGTGAATGCGCTCGCACACCTGTAGATAGAGTCACCCGAGGCCAAGTCAATTATTCACTTTCTTTACACATTGTGCAAACTCAAGCTTGATACAAGTCTACGTCATGCCTTGGTGCTGGGCGCTTTTAGGCGTTTCCCGGATCCTTTCGCACTGATCATATCCCCAATGCATTTCGCCAGGAACTTATCACCTTCATTCATCTTGGTCACTTTAAAAAAAGACATAAGGGTCTGTTGGGAATGCCTACGTTGAAATACAATACAAATCACAATACAAAAATGTTATCGGCGTATGTCAATGGTGTAATTAACCATTGTATACTCCTCTGCAGGGCATTGCAGAGAACTAGGGCCAAAACAACGGTGTGACGTTGTGCTGCACATTGAGCATTAGGCAGAGCTAAATCACCTGCTTAAAAACGTCTTTCAACTAAGGAGTGCAAATTTAACTCGGATACTTAGGGTAGTGAATTGATGTTATTAATTTTATACATTCAAACAATAAGAGGACGGAAAAAAGTGTTTTAACGCTGAGTTTCACGAACTAAGCGATCATCAGAAACAGGTTTTCCCCCTCTTATTGTTTGAACTAGCTCTGCCTCTCGGTATTGAGCACTCTCTTGGACAGCCTGGAGCCTTTCTGATTATTTAATACAATCATATAGTTCTGGGTGTACTGAAGTACTTTGCTTAGGTAAGTAGGTAGGTACATTTTTATTTGAATTCGCAAAACCAAACGGGCGGTGTCGCCCAATTACATGGAAGCGAATGGAAACAGTAAAATATTGTAGGAAATAGCCTAACATGATAGCAGGGTGTACCGCTTGATTAAATGAGTATCGCTGTCAGCTCAAAAAAGCTCAAAATGTTGATGATAGTTATTGTATCCCTCACCGTTTGGTATAGGTTTTGGCAAATACCAACGGTTGGATGGTCGCATTATATCTTATATTGTGGCGTCGTGCTCAGGTTCGGAAAGCTGTTGAAGTCAAGATTAACGGTGGGAACCGATTTGGCCAGTTCAAAGCCAAACTATATATACAGCTGGTCGTTGCCGGCGTTGACTACCGTATCAAGGTGAGTTCAATATTATCTCCAATTGGTCTGATTTACGAAGAATTCAACGGGTTTTGCGAGTAGATGTTAGTGTTCGAATCAGACTCTTGCAAGGTTCTGTTAACCCTTTCAGTGCCGTCTACCCGAAGGAACCGAAGTGGAAGCCAAGCCATGCATTGGAGGGTGGCGGGGGGGGGGGGGGGCGAGGAGGGTGTGAGGGAGAGGGGGTGAGGGCCGTGAGGGGAGCGGAAAGTAATCATAATTATAATATCTAGAGCATCCTAAATAAACTCAAAATTTTACTAAGCTGTACCCGTGCAGCTTGACCTATTTTCAACACATCTAGGGTAGCAATGTGAGAATGATGGTCATCAATATTTCAACCAGCTATTGAGCTTAACCTTTTGTTAACTTCTATCATCTTATCCAAGCATTGTTCTCTGTATATCTGCTATTTTTGTTTACAGGTTCAAATCAATGAAGTATCGGTGATTCGTATTCAAGTATTCCAGGGTCTTCCGTCCGGAGGAGTACCAGCGCTACCTAAGCTGACAAGTGTTGGTGCCGATGGTCCTCTTGATAAACCATTCTAAGCATCCCCTTCAGGAATCTGCTTACCGGCTTCTTCTTTTACTATTGTGCTTAACCGATTTTCATATTACTCAGTCTCAGCAGTTGTGTAACATCGTCATGTACTCTATGCTCAAAATGTATTGCTATCATCTCCAAACTTTCCGATGAAGTTCAAAACACGCACGTATACATAGCAGGCACACCACCACATTGTGGTTTGAGTATAGAAAGCAGATCATGTTTGTTTTCTTTCCTTTACGTTATTAGAGCCACCCGAGCATTTTGTGAAATTGTGAAAACGCCAATGGAATATCAATCACATGCCCCCCCCCCGAAGGGCCCAGACGGTTATTTTTAGTCATTGGCAATCGGCGCATACAGAATCCCCCGGGAACATACCAGAAGCGCCTGACCGCAATAAAAGACTCCTTCAACAAAGATCGCAGAGGATCACTGATTAGGGTGAACACTGAGCATGGTAAGTGACATAAACTTTGGAGGTTACAAAACGAAGTTGTGATATACCGCTTCCTGCATGACAGAAATGCAATATTCGAGTACTGGCCAAGGAATTGAGCATTCGTGGCCGGCCAGTACTCAGATCATGAGAAATAACTCTCTTGTTGTGACATCCGTAATTGCACATCAACAAGTACTCTAAGTAACTACTAACACTAAACACAATTTCCATTCATTACAGACTAAATGAATCAGTGTTACTCGCGCTGACATTACTGATCCAGCAACTTGACAAATCGCGCCGGGGATCTTGACATCCTCTCCCCAATAGATGTACCAGTGAAGACGGAAGTTCCCACTTGGCTAAAGGCACAATGGTTAAATGGATGCGGCTAGGGGTCTTTCTTGGCACTTGTGCCAGTGATGGTGAGACGTAACGTTATCCCCTCACCCTTACCGTTAGGCGGTGCATCTGCCGGTGGGGTGGCCCTGATGTTAGCGGCAGAAAGTGCAACAACTAGGCAAAAAACTGACAGAGTACTGAGACACTTGACGTCCTGAAACCTAGCTTCAACACATCTCCGTAGCGCTAACCGAAAGTTTTGTGCCTAGTTGTTGTACTTTCTGACTGTATACAATGTAGTATCTGGTTGCAGTGATGGAGAGTTACTCTTAACTCGTATCCATATGTCCTATTCCATTCTACATTTATTATTGACAGCTCGCCGTCCAACCTCGTTACCTCCATGCAGACCGGCATTAACTCCACATAGCATGGATGGAAGCTTGGAAGCTGAGGCCCAACATCGCGAAGACCGAGGCAATGTTCATCAGCCCATCGCCGCCTACTCAGCCGTTGCACTTTCCAGGAGCCAATGCTCACGTTAAAATTGTTCATGAACACAAACACCGTGGTGTTATATTCGACAGCCATAATTATGTCCTGGTCCCCACAGGTTCAGTCAGTATGCAAGCGAGCTAGCTCCTCCCTTGGCATGTTGCAGCCTCACTGCCACCATTTAAATGACCATTGCCGAAAATTGTTCTTTACGTCGTATATTCTACCTATATTTGATTACTGTGACACAGCGTGGTACGGTGCGGTCTGTCTCAGGCCCTTGTTCAAACTCTGGAAATACACCAGCGTCTGCTTCTAAAAATCCTGTTTCGCAAAAATCAAACATTCTCCTCCCAACGTCTCTACAGTTTAGCTTCAGTATCTCCCCTCTTAGAGCGACACCAGCAACATCTTTGCATCCTTGTACACATGATCTTATTAGACCTGGCTCCCAAACACTTTGCTAAGTATAACTGGTTTGTGTCCACCAGATCAACACGTCATTCCTTCTCATTACCCCGTGCCAATACCTCCCTGTTTCTGAAATCTCCTATCTTCTCTGCGTACACTCTCTGGTCTTCCCTGCCAACTAGCCTTAAAGCATGCACAGACATTAAGGAGTTCAAGCTTCAGCTTCTTCGTCCTAAATAATCCGGCTCACCATTTTCGTCATGCCTCCCCTTGCAGTACTCTCTTTGTTTCTCTCCTTATTATTCAGTTCGCCGTGGTTGGCTACCACCCGACTTCTCATATATATTGGCAGTCTTCTGACGAGCCAGGAGATGTTGAATTAATAGTGTTATTGGCTCAAAATCCGAGTTTCTCAAATTAAACTTTAGATTGTTTTTGCATCGTCCCCGTCGCTTACATGGTTTAATAAAGTAATCCAAATGTCACTTCCGCTCGTCCTCCTTATTGCCATATTAAAATTGTTGTCTCCTCGTCGAATAAATAAAAAATAAAAATAATCTGCGAAGAAAAGAGAAAAAATCGCCAGACCCACCAGGACTCGAACCCGGGACCTTGCTTGTCATGAGTAATACTCTAACCACTGAGCTATGGGACTAGGCTGAACCTAGAAGGCGCTGACAAGTTTTTCACTCCAAAGGCAGCCCACAACACGTGCCACACATACTGATGGCACCTGGGTCTTTCTCCCTCCCCCAGGGGACCAACCACGGTCAGTTTCTGGACCCTACCAGAAGTGAAAGAAAGTGATTAAATTTTGAAAGGATTAGGAGAACTTCAAATTCAAAGGATCAGTTGGGGAAGTGAACTGCCTGAAAAGAGAAAAAATCGCCAGACCCACCAGGACTCGAACCCGGGACCTTGCTTGTCATGAGCAATGCTCTAACCACTGAGCTATGGGACCAGGCTGAACCCAAAGTTCTCAAATTTCTCCCAATCCTTTCAAAATTTAATCACCTTCTTTCCCTTCTGGTAGGGTCCAGAAACTGACCGTGCTATAGGGTGGCAACTTCACGTGTCCATGTCGTGCTGAGTCAAGATGCGCTCAGCAGTACCTACTTCGAAGTATGACCAAGGTTTATAATGGGAGCTCCACAAATCCCGGAGATTAATCAGGACGTAGTGGAAGGTAGGGATGAGACTGCAAGTGCGGGGGATAACTAACGAGAAAACGCATATGGTTATTATTGGCAAGCCCAACAGCACGCGTTCGCCTCGTGGACGGTTTCATCTCGCTATTTCATCGAGACTGTGTTTTGGTCGACTGGTGAGGAGGAGTGTCTGGCCGTTATTCAGGTGAGCTCACATTTACTGGTTGGGCAATGGGCACGTGATCGCTTGTTTGAGACCACCGCACTAGCCCCGGACTGGGATCGGGTGAATGTCTGGTTTCCGCGTCATGTCACAGGTCGAGGTCAACTAGCCTTTCGCGACTGTCCGTGTGGACAAACTAATGCACCGTTCAGAAGATAACCGCGTTAGGGAGTATAAAAGATGTCCACTTCCTATGCTCCTGTCAGTAACAAATCAACTCTCCATATCGAAAACCTTCAGAATAGTTCATTTCTTCCCCAGGTAATCTAATTGATTGTTAAAATGGGTTCGGGACAGAGTAGAAAGTCATCATCGTCTGGCAGCCCTGCTGTGGATATAACTTCACCCTCGGACAACCACAGTGTTGTGGAGTGTGTGTTCAGCAGCCACGAAGTCAAACAGCTGAAAAAGGAGTTCTTTAAGGACCACCGATCCGGCATCATTAGCCGGAGGCAATTCGTGGAAGCGTATGCAAGTTTCTTTCAGTTCTCTGATTCCTCGCAGATCGCCGATCGCATCTTCAACGCCATAGACAGGCAAGGCAGAGATTACATTGACTTTCAGCAATATCTCCACACTCTCGAAATGACTCAAAGAGGAAACGAACTGCAGAAAATCCGCTTCGTATTCGGTGTCTTCGACATCAACGGCGATGGCGTTATCTCTCGTCAGGAGTACACGGATATTCAGCTCGCCCTGGGACTGTTGGCGCATCCCAGTCGACGGTCACAGGTCTTAGGTCCAGTCATCGGTAGAGGTTCTGCATCGGGAATGTCCCGATCTTCCAGCTGCGGATGCCTTGCTACCATGACGGTGAACGGTAGTCCCGAACAGATCAGAGCTGCGCAGCGCAAGCAGTCACAGATGAGTGCAGTCCGACGAGCAACACAAATGGAGATCGGCACCAGCAGCAACAGCATGCCATCAGTTACATCAACCAAGTCAAATAGCGTTGCAACGTTTCCAACAACCACACAGCGACTATCAAACATGCAGGCAGAGTCATTAGCATGGCTTCCCGACGCAACTCGCTGTAGACCACCGCTGTCAGCCACACCTCCGCTGCACCGCCGGGGAAGCAGCATTGAGAGTCCCAACCAGGCGGAAGAGATGATCTTGAGGACTAACACCATGGACAGGCGCCGAAGTCGCCTAGCCCCGCTGACACCATCTTCCCCAGCGGCCACTGCGAAGCGGTCGAGCAACGGTCGATTCCCATCTCTGTACGACATGTCACCCAGCTTCAACGTGTCAGTTGGCTCCGCATCTCAGTTCTCCATGACGAGCGAGGAGGACCGCCAATCACCATCAGCCATTAGTGATGAATCTTCTGTAAGCATGGCTAGTGGTCAACAAAACAGCTGGGCAAAGCTCGCGTTGCCTTCTCCATGCGCCTCTGACGATGAATTCGACGATGTGTTTGCAAACATGGACACGAATTGCGATGGAGTGGTGGGCTTCGAGGAATTCATCTCCGCTGTGAGGCGTGATTCATCCTTGCTTCGGTTTCTTCAATTCTCAGGATGAACATAATTAACTGTAGAGAATTTCAGTCAGTTTCACAAAGAACTGCCTTTATGCCATGGGCCAGTTTGTCCAAAACTATAATAATAATTATTATTTGCTCTAAACTATCTGCTACTCCGCATACCAGTCATTATTCCTTGCGCAAATCAACATTCCTCTCACAATTAAATGTACTCCCATCACTACCTGATAATGGATTATATCTGCTGATTCATGTTTGTCTTCCTTGACTATCGAATTCAAAATTTGGAACATGGACATCCTCCCGTTGTTGAATACCAATGATGTACTGATACAGCGACCAAGTGGTGAAGCAGTTGGAAAGTTGGAACCTTTAGCACCCAATGAGGTGTCGGAGAAGATTCAGGGCGGGGCCATCTACTTGTATACTAGGGACAGAGATGATAATATGCAGGTGGGATGGCATTATTATGACGTCTATTCGTACTAATTACTAATATATATATTAGTCTTAGACATGTAGCCGTGATCAGGCAGGATCCAGCACTTATAATGCACGAGTATTCACGTTGATAAGACTTGCTTGTAGTTAAAAATGTGCACGGCAGGGGAGAGGAAGGGATGGGGAGCAAATGGCATGTAGCGATATTTTGGCCATGTTTTTCGCCCTAAATGCCATAATCTTCTAGCAAGATCATGCTGCTCTAACCACACAGCTGGGTCCATCATGTCGCGATCACGCTCCCAACCCTATGCATCACAAGGAAACATTATTTGACTAATTGCCGACAGCGCATTGCATTTGTGTTGTCTCGACTACAGTCAACTTCGCTAATAACGACTGCGGATATATCGACAATTCGCGAATAACGACAGCATTTCCATGCCCAGAGCAAAGTCCCTTCCAACTGTAATACATATAATGCTCTCTCGGGGCTGGAACACGTTTGACGTGGAGTACAAGTGCCGTGTAGTCTCCAAGACACAACAATGGAAACACTCTAGCTGTAACTGACAAGAATAGCTTCAGGTCGACATTTCTCCAACGGGTATTTTAAAAACCCAATTTGGAACTCCTTTAAAGGACGGGTACCAAAGTTGAGAGGCTCCTATCACTGACTCACACGAAGTTTGCTTATCAGTACATTTTCTCGACATACACAAGTACAATCAAGCAATGGGAACATGTCGGCCAGTCAATGGAATGGGAAATAAAACAAAAAGTGGTCGCACGAATTTCGGAAATGCTGTCAATGGAGCGGGACACAAAAAGGGGTCACACGAAATGCTGTAATATCCTGAACTCAGCTTTTATTTTATTTATTTATTACAACATCTCAAGACTCGGCGGAAACACCGGCCAATGTTACGAGAGTGGGTGATTGCCAACCACGGCGATAAATAGAAATAAGCTTGGCATGGAGAGCGCACACTTTCCTTATTTGTACATTTATCACGAAGACAGTTCTTTGGTTTTCCGGCCACTATCACGATCTACTCCTACATGTACTTGTAAACCTACATGACTGTATTCTAATTCGTATAACACCGGACACTAACTCCTCGGTGAGTGGGATCTAACCTCTCCTTTCATAATTATTTAGCTCGGTTGCTTCATAACTCGTTTCCATGTAATTTCTTCATAATTATTATTCAACATTAGCAACAATTAACAAAGGAGTTTCATCCCTTGTATCTTTGGTGTTCTTCCTTCTTTCCATGACGTATTGTTTGAACAAAGCCGTTTTTATCCAACAATGGGGTACAGCATTTTACATGTACGCATAGATTTGATGTCTGTGATACTTGGTAGCACGTGGTTACAACGTGCACAGCCACAGGAGTGCAGAGTGGCAACCTTCAACGTTCCTAGATCCTCGCTGCTGTCACAAAACAACCAGTATTCCTGAGATATTGCTGGAAGCACGACACCAAGAGCCGTTCACACACTGCGGACAGAACGGAAGAAGACAACAGTAACTGTTACAGTTTCGTGATACAACCCTGCAATGGCTGCATTTCAGGCCAAAAGGCACTCAGCAGACAACACGTACTACATGCACACACTACCTATAGACGATACTCTGATAGAGTCCTGGTCATTGGACATCTTACAAGGTGTTCCGCTTTAGCCATCAGCTTTTTTTATTTTTTACAAAGAACACAAACCCGGCTCGAGACAAAAATTAATAACAAGAAAGATAGTCTAACATCGAGCATTGTGTACAGGGCACATGTAACCAGCAGCAACATGAAGGAGTACACTGGATTAACGGAAGTGTCCTTATCTCCAATATTTGCGCCGTTTCGCTAATACTTGTATCAACATCAACCAATGAAGCTCCACACCGATCTGTCCCAGTCGAACAATGGGCACCTGCGGAGTGTTGAGGACTTGCGCCGTCTGGAGCGGATTGCTGTGGACCGTCCAGCATGGAACGCGCTGGTGAAGAGTGTTTGTGCACACCCTCGTCACGAGTAGAAACAGCCATGGCACCCTTATAAACTCTTATACCCTGGTACGGTACGGAGGGCCTGTTTTCAGCCAATGAGCGCTCGTCTAGCCATGGTTATATTGGCCAGTATAAATCCCGCGCGGGATTTATATA